GGTATAGCATATGATAGTCTTTATAATGCTGACTAGCCTGACTGTTTCTAAATCATTATATATAAGGCATTGCTTGTTCATAGATCAAATGTTTTGCTCACTACAGTGGACAATTCTGTCTTCCATACCCACTACCCTGATCTCAATGGACCCATAGTCAGCATTCTCTCACTTGACTAGCTCAGAAAAGGAAAAAACCCATTCATTGTCCTTTTAGTTTATTTTACACTTTGGCGGGCTATGACACTATCAGAATAACCCCATTGTGCTTAGTAGGCACCATTTCAGATGACAAAGTATGTGTAACACTTAATATGAGTATTCCAGTAATTTGTTGTAATCAAATCAGATCAGTTAGTAAGGGGTTCTGAACATACAAGCAAATGTATGCATTCAGTTGCTCAAACATTAGTAACTACGACACCCATCCTAATTTACTCCCATCATAATCTACATGCATTTATAACGATGATGCAGGATCAAAATTTCACAATTTCATTCAAGAAACATTAATGAAAATAAAATTACAAAACACATGATACTAACCTGTGAGAAATTCAGCCAACAACATGAAAGTGAAAATGACGGAGGTTCTTCAAGTGGATAAAGGTGATTCAGTTGAAAATGAAGTTTTATTGGAGGAAGATATAATACTGTTGCAAGAGTGTCTAAGGCTTTGAATTTTGACTCGGAGTAAATACCACATTCAGGATCTATCTTAATGGGAAGACCCTGATTTGGTAGCTCTAACTCGACTCTCATCGTACCCTCCACCTTATTCTCTATAACTTCCCACTGGAACTCAAGCTCTTTCTTTCTCATTGCTTCTAGCATCATCATTTCATCTTCCTGCTCCTCAATCATCACCGAGTTTTTAGCTGGTACCGTTTTTGTTCCTTCATTCGCCATTTTGCGATCCCGCCCACCCGGCTAGCTAAATAATTAATTACCGGTATAAACTGATTCATAATAATTATTACTAAATCACCAGTGATGAGGTGCTAACTATAGATTATAATCTTTATATGTATTATGTATGTGCCTGATGACCATGAAGTCTACCACAACTTGGTAGCCTAACTGAAAACTTCATGCACTTGTGATATCTCATTTGATGTAGACTTTTTATTGGACTCTCTAAGAAAAATCTATTTTATAAGATGAAACTACTTGTGAAAGGAATTATTTACAGTAACAAAGGCTGCAAAATAAATGAAATAGCCTCAAAATTATTAGAATTAGTTTATGAGTTCATCCAGATCCTCTTCATAACGTGCCAAAACAAGAAGAAGTGCATAGGAAATAAAGAAACCTAAATTAACCAACAGGAACCTCATAGCAAATTGCCAACCACTCTTAGACAACTTGTAAGTCCCACCATGGACTAAATCAGGAAGCTATACAAAATATTAATAGTATAGTAGAAAAATGATTTACAACTCTTACCAAATCAGTCAAAGAAATGTAAAGGAACAACCCAGCAGTGATAGCAAGTATGTAAGTGCTAGCATCTTCACTGTTTGAACTGATTGCAACGCCAATAAAGAAACCAAGAATTGCAAAAAGAGATGAAATAAAGTTAAAGAACAAGGCACTGCTCCATTTTAAACCAGACTTAATAAGAATGACATAATCTCCTAATAATTTACAACACAATAGACAATACCACTGATCATTCAGTTACTTACCTAGCTCATGTGTTATCTCATGAAATACGAGTGCAAACATTATACTTAGTCCAAGAGTAAGACTTTGAACAACAGTAGATCCAAGAGCTAAACCATTAGCAAAATTATGCAAAGCACCACCAACAGTAACCAACCAAGCAACCGGTTCGATACGTGAGAAAAAAGGCTTTTTCATATCAACTATTGGCTGATCCTGTGCAGGCTACAGTCTTAATTAATTGAATTCATACTTATAACAAACCTTATCTTCTTTATCTTCTTTAGTTTCTTTCATTTCTGCTGAATAGTTCCCATCTTCAACTGGAGCAGCATGATTGGTAGCATGAGGAGGTTCACCAGATTTTGATTTTTTCTATAAATGATGGTCTTATCATTTTATTATTAAAAATATTAGCTAAAAATATTTAACCGGACGATTAAACAACTTTGGAAAGTTGTAGTGTGCTTACAAAATATTGTATTAACTATTATTATTATTTGTACCGTCAAGTAGTGACTAAGTCCATGCATTGCCACCTCTATCAAGTAGAATGCATAAATTCCAAGTAGGACCAGACTTGCTTTCCAAAGATACGCATGCTCCTCAGATTCTTCCTCATCACTATGATGATCATGATCATGATCATGGTCATCATCTTCTTCATGATGACCATGACTATGAAGACCAAGTGCCTGTAACACTCACTATAAATAAGCTACTCAGAAAATGCTACATTCTTACATGAGGAATAAGATGCAATACAGCATCACTTAGTAAAGCAGAAACTCCAATAGCAAATATAAAGGCATATGTATATTCAAATAACAGACGACCACCTTGGGATTTATTTCTTATGACAGGAACCAGGAAAATTCCAATCAATGCACAAAGACAGACAAGGCAGATCATGAGGAAACCATATCCATAAGCTAGAAAAGAAAGGTGAATGAATTAGAGTAATGTGGCAAATCTTACTCTTACCTTGAGCTGTAGTGGGCTTGGAAGATCCTTCAGTACCATTACGAAAACGATCACTAAGGCATTCTTGAGTTGTGAGACCGAGTCCGAGAATAATATCATGGCAAAGTTCATACATTGTTGAACAATTAAAACAGTTCTTATGGTGATGGCCCTCATTGCGGCGGCGATGGTGATGGCCATGATCATGGTCATCGTGGTCAAGGTCATCGTATTCCAGCATACACATACGCCCATCACAGTCGCTCATATTCTTGGTTTGAGACACTTCGTTGAACTTTCCAATAAGCTCATCTTCAGTAGGACACTATAAGTAAAAAGTTCAGACAACTTAATAACATTATCATCAAAATTACAAAATGCAATTTAAAGTGCGCACAACACAGTGGCTGGCCGTTACGCTACACGGTACTGTGCGCGCTCACGCGACGCATTGAGTAGTTTTTCTTACAGGGCAGCTTTGGGAGAAAGCAAGAGCCAAGAGACAAAAAGTGACAGCTAAAATCAAAAGACCTTTCATGACTACCTTTTGCTTGTCGAATTTTTATCTGCAGATATCTGCCTCGGTTCTATAGTGCTTTTATGCAATTTCAAAGGGGGCGTGGTCATTTATACGCGCATTACCATAGATAATCATTATCTATGCATTACCATGGCATGCATTACAAGTGATCACTATAAATGAAAGAATAATTCACATTATAAGGACATATCTGTATCAGTTATAGTAAACATGTAAACTATTTATAAAACCAAAAATAAAAAAAGTAAGTACTAAGCTTGTTCAATACGAAATCAGTTCACTGTTAAAACTCTGGGAGAGTTTGGTAGAGAGTTCATTAATCAAGTTTCTGATCAGTAGAGTAGTATGCAGAGTAGTAGCCTGACTATGAACATATAGAGTTGGCCTAGGCCTGACTAGACCGTTGAAATAATGAGGCAGATGAAATAATATTGATTAGTTCACTTTAAGTGGTGTCACCATGGTATTTGATAGCTGATCATTACTTCATTCTTTATTCATAAAGCGTTTCTCCCACTTTCTTCCTTTTTTCTTCATCATCAGCACACTCCTACTTGTTTTGCTTGTGGCATTAATTATCTATAACAATAAGTACAGGAATAAAATTGAAATGTCATGCTACATTAATTATTTTAGCAAAAGGTATATATAATGTGTTAAATAGCATTTCATTTGAAAAGTTAAAGTTCAAATGGCAGATCAAGTTATAGGATCAGTTACAATTACAACAAAATAAGCAGATAAAACATGTAAAAATATACATTGATCATGTACTAACACGCACATTTAATTGCCTCTACATAAGATAAGAAATGTTCACTTGGACATCGGAAGTCTGATCGTAGGCAGAACATTTGTACTACTCACAGTGTCAAACTTGGATGGCACTTTTAATGTGTACTCTGAATTGGCTCTAAGAAGTAAACCAAATTTATAATGAAATGTTACACATGTACATTAGCTGTACACAATTCCATCAGTTATAATGCAGTGTACCTATATACAAAGAAAACTGAGAGAAAGTTATAAATGTATACATAGGAATATAGATTTAAATCAAGGGCTAATAGTCCAGGTATCATAAAAATGAAATGTGTTGCATAATTTAACATGGCAATTAGGGTTTATCATAAGTATTTTTCATTCCATTGCTATAAATGATCAAAAAATTAATTATAATTATTCTTTTATTTAGTACATAAAATTAATTTGTTAAAACTATATAGAATTCTACACGGTATACAGACAATTAGACACACAACTTGTTTCATGAAATAGAGCCTGAAGCATATTTAAACAAGATTCATGGTGGTAAATAAATGTGAATGGTCTTGAGACAAACGTTAAAACATACATGCATGTAAATAGCTCATACACATTATTTCCTAAATAATTAAAACATTTATGTAAATGTATGTTTTTTTATATGAACTAGTACTAAAACATTTTATAGGATAAAAATTTGGGATCAGAAGCAGTTGCATAGGATAAGGGAGTCAAATTCATTAGTGAAAAACAGCAGCTGGGTTTCCTACAAAGCATGCCAAGTGAGCTGATTAAGACTTATATATAAAGCAACTTTAAAATTTAAAATCCAAACTTGATCGGAATCAGCTTAAAACTTCTACACAACATAAAAACATGCATATATATATATATATAAATTATAAAATGGAGAATTCTGTCAGAGCCTATGTTGACAAAATATCCTGTACTTGGCTTTGGTCCAAATTTTCAGCAAATCAATAAATAACTTAATTTTGATCGAAATCAGCTCTACGTTCTACACAACATAAGAACATGTATTTGTATTAGAAAATGTAAAAATACATGCACCAGTGGTCCAGTATGAGATATATTGTCAACATTTTTTGAGCAAATTAAAAAATTTACTAAAAAGAAGCTAAAGCCTGTAGAAAACTGAGCTAATAAGTTTGGCTCTAATTTGAATGTTCTAAGTTCATCAAAAATTGGCTCACACTTGTCTACCATACACATAATATTGTGCAAAATTGGCTACAGCCTACAAGCCTACTACATGTTGTGTACATGCATGCATTAGAAAAAATAAACTAACTATTAAAGCAGCTTTTTACATAGGCTGAGAATCACAATATACTACCCATTGTACTGTAATAATAGTAACATAATGTACTACATACCTTGCTAGAAATTATCAGTTGCATACTAGTACAATGCAGAAGAGTTTTGGAATAAAACTATTGAAGATCTACATATCTTATGTACACAATACAATGTTAGTTAGTGCATGTTATAATACTGATATGCAATGTAACGATGAAATTAATGCCTGTGTGAAATTCTCATTTTGTTTACTACTTTTGTTATTTGCTCCGTAAAGTTCACTCAAAACAACTTTTTTTGTTAATAATTTGACATGCTGCCAATTCCATTAGATAGTGTACTACAAGTCAACAGCGTTACCCATAGATTGAATAGTGAGCTAACCATAACGCCAGTCTTATTTTTGTTATTTGCATAACTTTAACATTATGCAGCCTCAAGCTTTTTGTGTCTACTTCATATATAGTTTAATAGTTTTTGTTAGCTATGGTTATTATTTTGGAAGAGCTTTGCTGAGCTACTGTAAATCAGTCTGTTACAAATTTTGGTGGGTAGAGGTGGCATACCGCAGACAGTTTTAATGTTGGCAGTCAGGAAGATCAGAAGAGTCTGAAAAATTATGAGAAGCCATCCAATGATAATTGGAAAAAGCAATTAAAGAGAGTGAAAATGATGAATTACTATTATTTTGGTTAATACTCAACAAATGACATAGAGGGAGAAAAGATTATACAGTCAAAGAGAAGTAACTTTTTGCAGCTAAAGCTGGGATGATAAACCAGCACAAATTACAGTAAAGGAGTTATTCATTAAGTAGGGACTCCACGTAACACACCAAATGTACTTATGAGCTTGAAGTCAGTAAATGCGCTACGCTTTACCATTTGCAGGACACTTAAAAAAGATGATACTCAAAAGTTGAAAAATGTCTGGGCATAGTACTTGGAGTCAAACATTTTCGAGCTCAATTATTGGGCTCATCAACTTCAGAAGAAAAATGCACGACTAATGTAATGGAGCCTAATTTTACAATCATACAACTTCACTGTATAGCATAGCATAGGGGTATGCTACTCTGATGCATTGCCAACCTGAGCTGCCTTTATGCCACAGAAAGTGAAAATAAGAGGTCAAGCTATCAGTAAAATTAGTGAATATTATGCAATGATACGTAATGAGTGCTAATGAAGTTAGTGTCTGGTGTGAATGCATGATTTATCCTGTTTATTACAGGCTCTATAAAGCCCATAGTTGGAAGCAACTTCGTGGTTAATTTGACATGTTGCCAATTCTATTGGATATAGTGTACCAACTGAGTCAATAAGTTATAAGTAGATTGAACAGTGGATATAGCTAGCTGTATGGTCATAAAGTCAGACTTTGTAATTTTGTGTAACATCATGCTTTTTGTGTTTGATTTGCATAATTTTTGTAAGCTATGACTATTTTTTATTTTGCTAAACTAATAATTTGATTTGTTAACCATTTTGAGCTATTAGGCACATACCCAAGAGCATATCAGGGTTTCCTACAGGATTTCAGTACAATGCTCATGCAGCTTTTTGTCAGTGATTTTAAACTCATAAAATGAACATCTAATTTTAAAAGTAAACATACATGCTCTTATATTGTACAGAAAATTTTGATCAACTTTGCATCTTTAAGACTTTTAAAGTTGCTCAAAAATTGGGTTAATGATAATTAAAGGTTATAGCCCTCATCTTTGGGCAAATTTTGTCAAAAAAGAGTAGAAGAGAATTCTCCACTTTTATAATTTTTTCTACATGTGCCTATGTTGTGCATCAACTGTGAACTGATTCCAATTTTTTTACAAATTAAAAAAAAATTGACAGAAAATCAGGCCAAACATCCTGTACTATAGTTCAGGAACTTTGGCCAAATTTTTGTCAAAAAATGAATAGGACAAAATTCTCTATTTTAAAGCTTGTTTTTATGTTGGGTAGAAAATTTGAGCTGATTTCAATCAAATTTGAATTTTTTATAAACTTTTGAAGTTGTTTCAAAATCTAGGCATACTAGCTGCTTGTCAGCTTATTAAGCATATTGTTTAGCTAACTTAGCACATTTTTTGGGAAGCCCTGGAGCAAAGAGCCATAATTTGCCATATTAAAAACTGCCAATCACTATGAATTTAGAAATTCAAACAAAAATTATAAGTCATATGGAGGCTAAAATTAATTATTATACCTAATAGCAAGATATTTTTGTGGCCAATTTATGCAAGTCTTATGGTTCTAAATTCACAAAAAACAATTAGAAAAATATGATGAAATAAGGTTCAAGATGGCAAAAAGTGAAAATTAACCACAAACAGATTTTTGAATGGATTAGTGAAATTTTGGGCTACAAAAGTATCTCTCTATACAGTAGTAAGTTAAAAGTATATAGTACATGTACATACAATTATTTGGTTTGAAATATATTCACAAAATAAATACTAAAAAAATTACCCACCATAGCATTATTATAAAAGTTACACGTATGTAGAAATACCAAAATAAATTTGACACTATTATTCAAAAGCTATGATACTTGATTACACTAACTGGGACAAAAAAAGAGTGAAAGCAATCCCCCAACAAGAATAAGAAATACAAAAAAGCACATTTGTTTGTTTGTATTTCTAATAATAAAGTTAATAAACCACCCACACTTCAGTTCCTGTAACAACGAAGTGATGCCAGCGTAAGGCTAACTCTCAATTCTGAAGATTCTTCAGTTCTTATATTCAATCCATCAATTGAGTCAAAAGCAGAATATTCCAGGATAGGAATGATGGGTCTCCTTCTAAAAGAGACCACTTTTAAGCAACAAAGTTCAATTTAGAAGAGTAAGTAGTTAAGAAAAGCCAATGCTTATCTGATGACATATAATGCTGTGCCCTTTGGTTGAGTAGAGTTCCACGAAGCTGAAATACTATCATGTTTATGAACAAAAGCTAGGAACAATGAATGATTGCTATTCAATCAAAACTTTTGGTTTTGCTCACCCCTCTTAATGTTTAAAATTTGCCTATTATGTCTTAAAATTGAAAACTACGTGTAGTATGCATGCATAATGTAAACACAACTGAATTGGTGAAAATGACCCAATAGAGCAAATAACAAAATAATTACTATACATGTATTAACATATTTTACTTTATGAGTCGGTCCATTAATAAAAAGAACTGTCAAAAATTTATGTACGAGGAATTGTAGCCTCTGGTGCAAAACAGGTGTTCCACATTGATCCTTCCATAAATGGTCAAAATTAAAACTCTTAGCTAAAAATAAAAATTACACACAATTATGAAAAATAAAAATTTAGAAATTTTAAAATAAGCCAAGCTACATGTACATAGAATTTCACACACAAATTTTAAAGTTACATGTATAAGGATTCAAAAGTATAAAAGTTAAAGTCATGTATAGCTAAAATTGAAACTAAAGTAGATTCATTCTTATCTTCAAGCATTACAATAATACATAACCTGTATGTCACTTCTCACTTTGACATCAAAGGCCCGAAGCCATACAAAGCCACTCCCCTGGTTGGCAGAATGCAGTACAAATGAGTGGAAGAAAAGCAAAAAAGCAAATGAGCAGTTCTTCTTACATCCATGCTTAAAGTCAGAGCTGCTACTTTTGCTATAGATACCAATGAATCAAGAAATTTGTAATTGATACCGATAGCAAGTAGTCTGAGTTGATTGGTACCATTGAGTACTAATGAGCAGTCAGCACTGCACATGCACAAATAAGTTATAACTAGTTATTAAATGAGCTGCCATTTTATAATTATAAAAAGGTGTGACTGTCATTATGACATCAAATGATCAAAAAGGTGTAATTGGGCATGGTACCACACATCGATACCAGGATTTGGTATCAAGTACTTGGTATCGGATATATGAGTACTTTGGTATCATACTGCCCACCTGTTGTGAAAATTTCCAAGCATACATTTAATAGTATAGTATCCATACTTTACTTCAAAGGAAGTGACAAGGGTGAACTAACGCACAGGTTATAAGCACTAAGCAATATGATTGTTGGCCTTATTTTTTTAACAAAATTAATTTCTGGTTCGTGTCTAAAGCCTGAAAAGGGAAAAAAATTTACAAAAAAGTGAAAATTGTTAATAATAATTATGAAAATAAATTTCTGTGAAAATAAAAAATGATTTATTTGGGCAAGGAAGTAATATTGGCAATTGGTGGTTTTATGCAGAATCCACTAATATAAAATTCGCCATTTTGTTTTAATTTGATTGCACAGGGTGCTGGTATAAAATATGCTAATTAACTTTCAACACCAAATATTACTTCCGCCAATATCTTGTATGGTACCAAATACATAGTACCAAGGTGGATACTGAATTATTTTATTTAGGGTTTCCACTCTTGATGGTACTGACCTGTGAGAAATTCAATCAGTGAACAACACAAAATTTTTAACGTGAATTATTCAGTTCAGTGAAAACTCTGATGGATCAAGTGAAATGTAGGCTTACAGTACTGTTGTAACAGTCAACAAAAATTCGGCATTTTGGTCCAGAGAAGTGGTATGGCTGCTAAAGTGATCGAACTGTGATGCCCTGGGCTGGGGAATGGTCTAGCTAGCGAGACTAGCGATGCCCTACTATCGCCTACTCCATACTTCCCTAGTCTCGCGAGCCAGGCTGGGGAATGGTCTGGCTCGCGAGACTAATACTTCCCATGTTCCATTCTATCCGCCTACGCACATGAGTTATCAATAGTTTTTGGCTACAAAATTATAATAAATGAAACAGCAAAAAAAAAACGAAACAGCCAAAAAATAACAATAGTCTCGCCTAAAGTACAAAAACGCTACAGGTAGTTTCAGGTCCACAAAGTATTAGAATTACTCAATCAGTTTATTCAGGCACTCTTCATAAATTGACAAAAGAAGAAGAACAACAAAGGAAAGATAGAAACCAAAATTAACCAAACAGAACCTCAGAACAAATCGCCAACCACTGTTTGTCAACTTATAATTTCCACCATGAATCAATTCAGGAAGCTACAAAAATTGATAGTTAAATAGAGTAACAAATTTACAGCTCTTACCAAATCAGTCAGTGAAATGTAAAGGAACAATCCAGCAGTCATTGTAAGTATGTAACTGCTAGCTGCTTCACTGTTTGAAGTAATTGCAACACCAACAAAAAAACCAAGAATTGCAGTGAGGGAAGAAAGAAAATTAAAGAACAAGGCAGTGCTCCAGTGTAAACCAGACTTTACAAGAATGACATAGTCTCCTAATAAATGCATTAAACACAATTCAAAAAATCACTTATCTAGTTTCAAATACCTACCTAGCTCATGTGGTAACTCATGAAATACAAGTGCAAACATTGTGCTTAGTCCAAGAGTAAGGCTTTGAACAATCGTAGCTCCAAGGGCTAAACCATCAGCAAAATTGTGCATAGCATCACCAATAATAATCAACCAAGCAACTGGTTCGATTCTTCTAAAAAAAGACTCTTTCACTTCTGATTGAACATTTTCTATTTCTCCAGGCTGCTTTTTAGAAGTGCCATTTTGGCCAGAAACCTATAACAGAATTCATAAAAGTAGTTGAAAAAGTCATCAGTTCAGTAGAGATATAATAAACCTTAATAGCTGATTCATTTTCACTATTAATTTCTTTCATTTCTGGAATATCTGTAGTATAGTGTCCATCTTCATTAGGGCAAGTTTGAGTGGTAGCAGAATTATCCTCTTCAGACTTAGATTTTCTCTATAATTAATAAAAAATTAAGAGGAATTTCTTTTGTGACTATGGGCATGCATATTTTTTTTAAAATGAGCAAGTAATTAAAATGTATGTGGCAAACAGTACCTTCATATAGTCAGTAATTCCATGCAGCACAGTCTCTAGCACATAGAAAGCATAAACTCCAACTAGTACAAGACACGCTTTCCAGAGATAATCTTGACTCTCAGATTCTTCTTCACTGTGGCCATGATCATGGCCATCACTACTTGCCTCTTCTTCATGATGACCATGAGCATGAAGACCAAATGACTATAACAATAATTATTATAAATTAAGTTATAGTCAGATAATGCTACTCACATGAGGAATGAGATGCAACACAGCATCACTTATTAAGGCAGAAATTCCAATAGCAACCATAAAGGCATATACATATTCATATGTCCGACGACCACTTTGGGAATTCTTTTTCATAAGAGGAATCAAAAAAACTCCAACCAATGAACAGATACTCACAAAACAAATCATAAGAAAGCCATATCCATAGGCTAAAAAAGAAAATGAAATTGCAAATATAACGCTATTTTCATTACCTTGAGCTGTAGTAGGCTTCGAAGATCCATCAGTACTGTTAGAATGATGATGATCATGCTCTTCAAGACAATCATTAGTTGTGAGATTGAGTGAGAGAATAACAGTACGGCAAAGATTATACATAGTGGAACAAGAAGTACAGTTCTCTGCATCATGGTCATCATCATCATGATCACCATCTCCTTTTTCATGATGTCCACCAGTACCATCACCTTCATGACTGTGATCTATAAAAAATGAATTTTGTTATTTCCTATAAAAAGTTTGCTGCATGTCAGTACATGTCTATGCATAATGGATGCATAATGAGAGGAATTCTGACAGCGACGTGTATGCTGACAGACAAAAATAAAATTCAAACAAAATTAATAAATACAAAAACTTGTGAAATATTCAAACTACAAATTGTAAATAGAATATATATATAAAATTAAAACCCTGTATAGTGGGTAATTTTTGAGGAAACAAATTTTGGCGAATTGGGTATTTTGATGGCTATATTCACCAAATTAAAACACACCATTTTGCATTATTATGCACATGCTTTGGTGGCTCCCAGTCTATTCAGGTTTTATTTTAATGGATCATCAGTAAAGCACACAGGCATCTCATTAACCTGCAAATATTTTGTGGTTTTTAATTTTGTGGTGTCATTCCAAACTACAAAAGTTTTTGGCCACAAAAATTTTCGGCTATATGGTATAAGTTGTATCAAATAATCATTATTACTTAAAGCCAACATACACTATTCAACTTTTTTGCATGCAACACAATTTATACAGGAGTCAATGGAGCTTCGTGAAATAGGAAACAGTTCTATCTCATGCAAAATGTTGAGCTCCATTGATTCCTGTATAAACTGTGTTGCATAGTGTATGTTAATTACTGTTTGTTAGTGTAAGTTACTACTGGTTGGTTAATTACTGGTTGTTAGTGTAAGTTAATTACTGGTTGAGCTTAAAAGTAACTAGTCATTAACAATCAATCTACAAAGCCTGAAATAACAGTTGGACATTGGACACTTTCTGAACATTTTGCCTAATTGTCCGACCAAATTATGTGTTCTTCTATCATTTTGTCTCAACAATCTAGTTCCTAAAATAATACTGTAAATTTTATTAATAAGAGCAATTTAACATAATAACCATGTGGAGCTAAACAGCATGCTTCATGACTATAAAACACACTGAGTACATGACATTTGAAACAACTTATAAAATTTATAAAAATCCAAAATTAATTGGAATGAATACATGTATATATATCAGAAAAATTATATAAATAGAAAATTTTCTCCTGGTTATTTTTGACAAAATTTGGCCAATAATTAAAGCCCTTTAGTTGTTGACGCAAGTTTTGAGCAAATTTTATAATTCAAAAAAATTCAAACTTGATTGCAATCAGCTTAAAGTTAATATACAACATAAGTACATCTATATGCATCAAAAAATTATAAAATAGAAAATTCTTTATAGTCTCCTTGTGATTTTTGGCAAAATATTAGTACCGCAAGGGTCTTTTCCCAATTTTTGAACAATAGCCTTGACAATCAACAGACAAAAAGCTGCTGCATCATACATTGTTTGAATGTAATCACTGAAAGGCTCTGATCTAAATCTGTGCCAAAACTCAACTTGAAATAACACATTACTTCTAAAAACTACTAATTAGTTGCATGTAGATGCTCACACAAGCAATGCCTTACCATTAATTAATAGCTATTAATAAGAGAACCTTTCTTAATACAAAAATAAATCCAAGAATTATAGTTCATCGCTGGTATAATAGTAGTGTAAAAATTGTCTTTAATAAAAAGTAAATTTTATGATTTGTGCATGATAGTAATATCAAGTATACACTCTACACTATCAATAAAATAAATTATTTTGCAGATTTTGGTGTTCTTGCACCATGTGAAATTACAGACCACCAATAGTAGTGTTAAAATTGTCTTTAATAAAAAGTAAATTTTATGATTTGTGCATGATAGTAATATCAAGTATATGCTCTACACTATGAATAAAATAAATTATTTTGCAGATTTCGGTGTTTTTGCACCATGTGAAATTACAGATCACCCTCCATAGTGAGAATTGCTTGCTTGCATGGGAGGATCAGTTCAGTATGGTTGAAGGCATGGGCCAGAATGAAGATGCATGGTAGAAATTGACTAATTCTCTCTGGGTGGTATGTTACTGTGAATTTAATTAAAACTCGCATGATGCACATACTCATGAATAAAATAGATTCAGTTACTTAATACTGATCACAATAGAGCACGTGCATAGCACATTGTTTGCCCATAAGTAATCACACCACAAACCACTTGTTTACTTAAGTACTTTTCACCTTTTCTCTTCTCTTTGACCTTCCTAGGAAGTTCCTACTCTTAACCAAAATACTGATGTTATGGCCCCTGACGCTGCATATAATTCTTTTATTTAAGTAATAAGTTTGGCAGTTTACAAGATGGCAGGGTTGCAAAGCAGTTAAAATATAAATAGATTATGTCTATGGTTTAAAATGTCATCTTGTCACTTGTAGCTATACGATCAAATATAGATGCAATTAAAGTTTTAATGCAGCATTACAAATACTGAAACAGGCTATTGTCACTAACCATCGTGGCCTTCCTGAATACACAAAAGTCCATCACAGCTCCTAACATTCAAGGTGCGAGAAACTTGATTAAACTTGCTAATAAGAGAGTCTTCACTGGGACACTACAAATGAAAATTGACATTTTAGACACGTGACATTGAAGTGCACACGGCTCCAAAAGGTGTCGTGTGCACAAGGCTAAGGCTCCAAAATGTGCCGTGTGCAATCTTACACTGCATGATGTGGAGAAGACACTAGTCAAGAAAGAAAATGAGACGACAAAAACCAACAGACCTTTCATAGTTTGGTAAAGCCTTTTGTCCGCACTCTTTGTGACTTTTGTCCAGGAGCATTAAATAGAGTGACCTTTGATGAAGTAAAATTTTGCCCAAAAGCTCCAATTTTAAAGAAAAATCCTCCATGAATTTAATTATTTTTGCTCATTTACAACATGCACACAACTGACTCAAATGTATAAGTACCAATGTATAGCTTGGCCTCATATATACTTTTTCCAGCATACACTTGACCTGTTAAGCTCTAACAGATACTGGGCCATGATATACTAGGAATCAGTTCTGATGGAATTCAAAGTTGTGGCAATAATACAAATCATGTCCAAGTGAGTTTGTGAAGCCCAATAATTACTCTGACCAAAGCGTTTTTATGCCAGTGCCACTCCAATTGTATGAAAAAATTAGTAGTCTAAAATGAATCAAAAATATGAAACTCAAAAACTAAATTAATTCATCAGTTCATCGAGACTCTCTTTATTGCCAAAACAAGAAGAATGGCAAAAGAAATGAGTCCAAATTAGTCAAAAGGAACCTCAAGCTGATCACCAACTGCTCTGCCTCTTAGTCAGCTTGTACTTATTCAGGAAGCTAAGAAGATGTAAAGGATTAACAATTCAGTATAGCAACAGCAAGTATATACCGGTAACTGCTAGCTTCTTCACCTCTGCTTGAACTGATTGCAATACCAACAAAGAAACCAAAAATGTGAGGGAAGAAAGAAAATTAAAGAACAAGGCAACACTCCAGTATAAACCAAACTTCCAAAAAATGACATAGTCTCCTAATAAAATTGCAACACAATTGACAATACCACTGATCATTTTGTTACTTACCTAGCTCTTGTGGTAATTCATAAAATACCATTAGCAAAATTGAGCAGAGAACCACCAAGAGTAACTAACCAAGTAACTGGTTCAATTCGCTTATGAAAGAAACTCTTAACATATAGCACCTGCATGTTTGATCCTTTTTAATTTCTCCAGGATGCTGTTCAAACTAGACTAGTGTTAATATTTGAACATTTGAATGAAGTTAATGAACAATCAAAATACAACAAACCTTTAGAGTTAGTTGTTTCATCTTCATTAATCACTGTCATTTCAAGAATATCTGAGTAATCGTCTTCGTTAGGACAAGCATCATTGGTAGCATGAGTATTACCTATTATTAATGACCATTCATAACAAGGTTACTAAATTACTACTGTAGTGATTGCACAAACATGTACATTTTGCTAAACTAGCCAATTATTGAAAGAAACTGAACAATAATTATGGAGGGTTGTAACAAACAGAGATTATGCTCATTGCTCTCCTAACATAATGTTGTATAAAGAAAATACCATAATGCTTGTACCGTCACATAATGGCCCATTCCATGTAGCAACACCTCTACATAAAGTCCAAATAGTACAAGACATGCTTATTCCTGACTCTCTGTGATTATGAGTATGATTATGCATGCTTAATTTCTTTATGATGACCATGACCATAAAGACCAAATGCATGACTATAACTTATTATCAAGAAAGCTGGTTACTTACATGAGGATTGAGATGCAACATAGGTAGAAATTCCAATAGCAATCTGTCAGCCAATTTGGGAATTATTATTCATAAGAGGAACTAACATAACTACGATTAATGAAAAAGACAGACATAACAATACATGAAAGCCATATCCATAGGCTAAAAAAGACGGATGGGGAAATTAAAATAGCAAATAAATATTCAACTTATTACTTTGAACTGTAGTAGGCTTTGAAGATCCATCAGTGCCATTAGAATGATGATGATCATGCTCTTCAAGACAATCAGTAGTTGTGAGCAAGGGCGTAGGGAGAAAAAAAGGAAAGGGTAGGCTAGGGGGAAAAAAGGGCGCGCGAAGCGCGCCGCCGATTTGGCCACGCCCACTTTTACAGCCGCGAAATGGGCATGTTCTCGCAAGATGGAGCGTTCTTCCATGGTTCTTCACTCTCAGACTCCGATCAGGCAAGACTCAAGGTAGCAGCACAATCAACAAAATCATCATTTACAAGATCATCATCTTTAATCTCCTCATGCTCGTCTTCAGTACAAATATGGCTGGGGTTGACTACTAATTATACTAGCTTTTGTTTCTTTGCAGCTGACATTGTGATAATGTGATGGCTTCACTTTTTATTAGGGGTGGGCGATATATCGAAATTAACGATATTTTATCGATATAATGCGGTATCGATACGTATCGATATCGAAATAAATTGAGAAGAAATATCGATACCGTGACCACGCCCACAAAATGATTGTATAACCTTAATAATAGTTAATTAACCACAGTCGCTAAGTAATGAAGTATCTCCAAACCGCTCCAAACACTTCTTTTTTGCAAAACAGAGGAAGTAACAGATGAAGACTAAGTCAAAACAGGTTAAATGAGAGTAATAATGCTTTTCTAAATCATAGTTTTTCTTGGAAATGGTACTTGAAACTTATTGAGCGTGGTCATGAAAATATCGAAATCTAGTATCGATATCAAACGATATTCATGAAAATATCGATATTATCGTATCGTTTTAAAATTTTCAATATCGCCCACCCCTACTTTTTATTAAGCTAGCTAATTAATTAAGTTAATTAATTATGTAAAGACTCCACCTTTAATAATTGTGCTAAAATGGCTAGTTTTCTTTTCTTTCTCTTGTCTCTGTTTGCCTGTGTCAAAAGTGACTGAGTGAGTAACTGCCAGTTGAGACAGCTACCCTAAACTTTTATAATTTTTGGTCATAGGTGACTAAGGCAGAAACTCAATATAGGTAAACTACTAAACTTCAATTCTGACTCCTGAACTTTAGGGTAGGCTATAGCCTACCCTAGCCTTATGCTAGCTACGCCCTTGGTTGTGAGGCTGAGTGAGGGAATCACTGGGGCAGAGTCTGCAGAGAGCAGATAGAGTTGTACAATTAGCAGTTTCCTGGATATTATCATGAATAAAAAAATAATAAGATAACACTAGAGTAAAATGTTTTAAAAACCATGATAATTATTAAAATGGGATATTTCAGTTGAAGGATTTGATTTACTTGTGACAATAGTTAAACTTCACCTAGTAGTTTGGCCATCATTTCATTACAAAAATAGCCGATAGTCCTATGATACCAAACTATCATTACATGAAAACTAAACACTGAAACCACAGCCTAGTAATAGGGTTCTATTTTAAACAAAAGAACCTTCATTGTACTTCAATACTAGGAACTGATTTAGGTTACGAAAATGCTTTCATCCTAACAAACACACGCCAATTCCAGCAAGGGCTTTAATCATGAATAGTTATAGTCAGGTGGGCCTGACTAAAATAGTTAATAACCCTTACATCATTACGTCACTTACTCGGATACTAATCAATGCATTATAGTCATTAATAATATGCAACACCAACACCCACTAACCATGTGACCATCGTGATCACCGATCAATCAGCATTGTTGTGGTAATTTGGTTGACGTGGTCGTTATCATGGTGATTATGGTCTATAGTCTTCCTGCACACAAATAGGTGTACGTCCACCACAGCTCCTAACATTCAAGGTGGATACACTTCATTGAACTTGCTAATAAGCGTGTCTTGACTGGAATACCATAAATAAAAATAACACACAACTCTTTTTATAGTGAAATGGAAATGCACACCACCCTCAGCAAAAGTACCGTGCCGTGTGCGTAGTGTAGATCTACATGTATTATATGCACTGAACTTCTTACATTGCATCATGTTTGAGCGGCTACAGTCAAGAGAAAAAAAGGAGCAAAAACCAAAACGGGACCTTTCCTCGGACCTTCCATGATGACATGATTAGAATAAAAACCGCGCCCAAAATTATAATGACTTTAATGAGTATTATTAATGAGAAGCACTAACATACACAGGGAGTCAATAAATTAAAAATGATATGACAAGCAGTCATTGTCAACCAGTATAAACTAGAGTCGGTAGTAAAACGAGCTCCCCAGTACTTGAATATAATATTAATTACAAACGATCCTATAACTGAAAAGATTATTCTTTTATTCTTGTTCTGTGATGAAGATTGGGTTACATTCTAAAAATAAAGTCAAAAATCATTATAATTACACGATAAGGACATGCCTGATCTAATAAACATCTAAACTGCTGAGTTAAAACCTAAAATAGAGATAAAGACATTTACTTGACTAAAAATAATAAGACTGTACCTGTGTATTATGTATTAGCTGTGATAACAATGAGTGTAAAGTTTGAGAATCAGCAGAACTGCTGGTAGGCTGTGGATTCACCAGATCACTAGTGTTAGGACTCTGGAAGAGATTGGTGGAGAGTGCATCAGGCTTCTGATCAGTAAGACTAGTAGCCTGACTATGAACGTATGGAGTTGGCCTACGCTCACTTAGCGACTGACTAGGCTATTGAAATAATGAGGCAGATGAATTAATATTGATTAGCTCACCTTAGGTGGGGTGATGTTTGATGGCAGCTTATCATATGAGTCTTCAAACTCTAAATCCCCATCACTGTCTTCATTGCTGGATGGCTGATCATTAAATGTTACTTTTTTAGCTGATGATGGCATTGTTTCTCCTTCATCTCCTCCTCCACTTTCTTCCTCTTTCACTTCTCCTTCATCATCAGCAAACTCATAAAATGGACCGATAGCTTTCATGAAATCTTCCACTTGTTTTGTTTGTGGCATCGTTTCAATTATCTACATGTGTTGTAATAATAAATTTTAATCATCGCATCAATAAAGAGCACTTCCTTTTGTAATGCATATGCTTGTACAGAACTTCAGGTCAATTTAAAAAGTGGTCTTAAATATATCAAGTGATCTCTCTCTCTCTCATCATGGTGATCTTATGACTCTTTCAATCTTTTCTTTTGTAAACTAGTATAATTGCAAACTCATGCTATATTAATTAATCAAAAGGTGAAATTTGATGCTTAAATGACACACTTCAAAATATACTGTAAATATTAGCAGTTGTGATGATAGCAATTAATGTATAGTATAACAATACAATACACTAATATACAAATCATACGCCACTTGACACATTTGGAAACAGAACCACACGAATGCACACAAATGTACACGTACATGTACATTGACAGATCAAAACTTGCTTTCACGCTTTAATTCAATTGATACACAGTAAACTAATGGGAGCTGGTAAAACTTATTTGTGGGACTCTTTTCACAAAGTTTTTTTTGGAATGCAAAGTAATCTGGTTTGATCATCTACTAAATCTATAAACAAACTATATGTAAACCTAGATGAGATGTTTTAACATGTAGTAAATTTGACAGTAAGAGAACAAGTTGTACTACTGACAGCGTCAAGGTTTGAATTACACTTTAGAATGTGTACTCTAATGAACTTGAATATAGTAACAGTGAAAACATACCCAGTATCGCTTGGCAGTGAACACAGATCAGTAGATCAAATTTACCACTACATATATACATGTACGTACATGTAAATGTACTTTACATGTAATTGAAAATAGCAGACACAGATAAACAATAATGTTATCAAACACAAAGCAATTGATCGCTAGAGCTAATTTCTGGAAAGTTACAGCCACATTAGGTCTAAATATAGCCCAAATTTTGCCAAAATGACTACTAGAAAATTTTCTATTATTATAATTTTTTCTTATGATGTACATGTACATGTATACCTATGTTGTGTAGAAAGCTTGAGGTGATTCGAATCAAAATTAAAGATTTTATCAAGTTGCTCCAAAAGCTATGTACTATTGTAAATTTGTAGTGCTGTCAGCTGTTTAGGTTACTTAAATATAGAACACTTTGTGGGAAACCATAGGTTCTACTAATAATACATGAGGTTCCAAAACAAAAAAATACATGCATTCAATTATGTACATGTACATGCACATGTATATATACATGTAAAGTAAATAAAGTTAGCTTAGGGTAAGAGCAAGAGTAAATAATACCTACAGAGAGTATCCAACGGTCCCATCTTTGCTGCTGCTGTATGTATTATTTACTCTTGGTAAGAGTCATTTGCCAAAATAAATGTAAGTGCTCAACCATACATGTACATTTGTACATTCACTTACATGTACATGTATATTGTGCATGTAACATGAAAAACTAACTATTAGTATAAATTCAACAAAATTAAATAGTTTTCTGGGCCAAGTTTCATTATCAGTCAAAACAGTACACAAAATTTACAATACAAATGTACATGTAAGTGTAATTCATACACTCAAGAAATTATCAACTTTATGTTCAAAGAAAGAATAAAGATATTTACAATAAATAACAATTATACACTTCAATATCAATGGGCAAGCAAAAAAGCAGAGACTGTCATACACACATTCACCTATCAATCTTTAAAGCTGATGGAGTGACCACTTACACTCTCTGTACACAACAGTGTCACCACAGGGCAAGGCTCAATTCAGGCCTTGTTAGCTTTTCTTTCATTCTATCCTTAATAGGCAAAAGCAGAATAATAATGGAGAAATCAGAGGAGAAATGATAAGTTTCCTTCTAAAAGAAACTACCATCTAGCAATGTCAATGGCCGGAGCTCAACCAAGGAGACCTGGTCAGTAGTAGCTAAAACAATTAGATGCCTATCCCATAACATACTTTGTACATCTACATGTACCATGTAAGTGGCTTTTTTCGAGGGAATTATATTTCGTGAAATCTACTAAAATTCCAATTTCACAGATTTTAATTTCTCAAATTCTACTGCATGCCATGCAGGTACTGTATTAAATTGATTTTCGTGGAATTTATTTTTGTGAATCGGGAAGGAATTTGCAGAATCTGCAAAATTTGCAACCCTTGAAAAAAAACACTTATACGGGTAATGCTAGTGTCCTTCGTTGAATACTATGAGTAAAGAGTTCTATCAAGCTGCAATCTTATCATTTTAATCAACAACCAATTCATAGATTGATATTCAGTCAAATTTTGATTGTTTTTACTCATCCCTGATCCCTCAGTGTTTTACACTTGCCTATTAATTCTTAAAATTTCAGACTACATGTAGTTCATATACAAACATACCCACTAATAAAGTATCAATAATGTCAATAAACAAATGACCACTATATGCATGCATTTAGCGAGAATGGGCAAGAGCAAAAACAAATTGATGTACATGCATGAACATTTATGGGTGACAACTTCATGTGTAATATAACATGTGATTCCTTTATAGCTACCTGTACATGCACCGTATATCCTCACATAAAAGCTGGATACAAATAAATGCTGGGGTAGCAATAAAATCAAACTATAAACACCATATAGCGCTTTAATTTGGCGGAGTTTTATTTTGGCGATTGGTGGTTTGCAAGCAGAATCGCCAATATTAAAATCACCAATTATCAATGTGCATAGTAGCACCTGCTGTACTAGCTGAAGCGCCATACCCTGAATGGGCCCACCACCACTGGTAAGAGGCTCCTAAATGACAAATGAGGCATATAATAAATACTCTCTTGAATGTATACATATATGTAGGGTATGGTTGTCAAATGATAGAGCTAATCAGCCTCTATGATTGAATATGCTATGGAATATCTCAAACATGACATAAAAGTAAATGAGTAGTTAATTTCTACACTTAGCGAGCCAACAATTAGTAGTCTGTAATAGTACAGAAACATTGACAAAATATCCCATACGTACTGGTATTTTGTTGAATTTTACCAAACATGGCAAATCGCCAAATTAAAAACCGCCAATTACAATTTCACAGCAAAATTGCCAAAATAAAGCACTATATGGTATGCAAATCTAGCCCTAAAATAACATAAATCTCTTGTACGTGTAGATACTTCTTTAGGTTCCTGAAGTCTTTTGAACGAG